AAGCCAATATTCTGGTGTTCAATTTGATATCCATGTGAAATTTGTTGTTTAAACATACCATATTGATATCTAATACCATATCCCCATGCTGGAAGATTCATTGTAGCAAGTGAATCAAGGAAACATGCTGCAAGTCTTCCAAGTCCTCCTGATCCAAGTGCAGCATCATTTTCATATTCATATAATTCTTCAAGAGATGAACCAAATTGGGAAACAACATCTCTATATTCATTTTCTAATCCAAGATTACAAATAGCATTCATTAATGAACGACCAATAAGATATTCAATTGAAAGATAATACATTCTTTTTGTTTGAATTTCTCTAAAATATTGATGTGTATCATTCCAATATTCAGTCATTCTCTCTCTTAAAGAAATAGCTGTTGCTGTAAAGAGTGATTTTGTTTTAAAATCAAATCGTTGACATGCTAATGTATATTCAATATGATTAGCAATTTGTTGTTTAATAGTTTCAACATCTTTAGATAAATATAAAGAGCAATAGTCCCACAAATTATTATATTTTTCAGAATCTGATTCATTAGTAAAATGTTCTGCTTCAGCAGCATCAGCAAATTGATTCTTTAACTTGTTTAATGAAATAGATCTTCTAACATGAGAAACTCCTTCACTTGATGAGGATTTTTGCATTGAAATCGAATTTAATTCTCCTAAAAAGTTCCGTTCATTAACAGTTCTTAGGGTTGTTAAAAATCCAATCATCTCATTGTTTCATCTTTTTTCTTCTTTTTCAACGAAGATCTTTTCATTTAGTTTAAATATGCTTCATCTGTACTATTTTTAGATTTTCTTATTAATTATGAAATATATAAAAATAGTTTTGTTATATTAATCATATTGGATAATTATAATATAATTTATAAAAAATAATGAATAAGAGCTAGAAATAGATTAAAGCTCGATATTTGATGAAGTAGAATCAGTATCTGATACATAACTTTCTTTACTTTCTTCTAGTTGGGTTTTACTTGTTGTATTACTTGTAGAAGTATTTGTGTTAATAGTATTTTGATTGGAGTTAGAAGAAGTTTTTATTTGACTGTCAGTTTTTGTTGTTCCAGAATGATTTTTGTTATTAGAGTCTGATTTTGATTTATCAGTTATTTTCTTTAAAACAGCTTCAAGGGTATTTACTATTTCTTTGAAAGTAGGACGATCAGAAGATTTATGTTGCCAGGATTGTTCTATGATACTTTTTAATGGACAGTCATCAGAAATATCAAGTCTTTTTCCTGCTCCTACAAATCTTAATATTGATTCTGAATCAGGGAATTTCATTGGATTATATGGATCTCTTCCTAACCAAATTTCTAACATACAAATAGCAAATGAATATACATCTGATTTTAATGTCATTTGATCTTTTCTACTAATTTCTGGTGCCATATATACAGGTGTACCAATATTTTGTAAAGCTATTTTACTTGATGATTCAATAAATGAACGAGAAGTACCAAAGTCAGTAACTTTAGCAGTAATAGGATCTGATGGATTTTTAGAATAAACTAAAACATTATCAGTTTTTAAATCACGATGAAGAATATCATTTTCATGTAAATATTCCATACCACGTGCTATATCTTGACAGAATCTAATTTTTAATAAATCACTCATTGGATTTGTTTTCATGAATTTTCTTAATGATCCTAATGGACAAAATTCTGTTACAAGACATAATGTATCATATGTAACTACACTTCCAATGAAATTTACAATATATGGACAACGAATACGTTCCATCATTTCTGCTTCTTGCATGAAATTAGGTAATAAATCCATCATATCTACTAAATCACTTTTCATTACTTTAACTGCAACATCAACTTTTCTCCATTCAGCACGATAAACAATACCAAATGTACCACCACCAATAGGTGGATGTTGTAAATGAATTTCTTCATAATCTAATTTAGTAGAAAGAGCAGATTCAACTTGAAGATTTAAATAAACATGGAATTTAGATACTTTAGACTTTCCTTTTTTCTTTTTTGAGTCTGAGTTATTGGATGAACCTGATTTACCACTTCCTGATGGAGTATTTTTTTGAGTATTTAATGAGGTATGAGAATTTTTTTGAGAAGAAGATCCATTAGTTGAAGAAGAACGAGATTTATTATCACTTTCACTATTTTGACTTGATTGAGAGTTTTGAGGTATTAAATCAGGATTTTCTCTTTTAATTTCTTTAATAATATTTTGTAATTGACCATAACGTATAGTAATAGGAACTTTTTCATTTAATACAGTTGTACAACGTGCAATAAATGAAATAGTTAGTTCAATACTTTCAGATGGATGAACAGTACCCGTGAATGGTTTACACATAATTTCATATTTAGGATAATCACCTGAATGGAATGTGAAATGAAGATTTTCTTTCCAATTATTTGTTAAACTGATTGTTGTTTCAATTGGCTCATCTATTTCAGGTCTTTTATCACCAAAATCAATGTCTGTTGTTGAGAATGAAAAATAAGGATTTTGTTGTTTTAAATCAATAAATTGAGAATTTGTTTTATCAAAAGGAATAATTGTATTTTCAAAGATTACTAATTTTTCATCATCAATTTCTTGTTTAATCTTTTTAGTTAATTTTATATAAAGAAGTATTAAAATAAGTAATAATATGAAAAAGAAGATCCAATAAACAATAACTAATGTTCCCCAATATTTTAATTGTCTTCCTAATAATGATTGAGATGAACAATGAGTTTTGTCTTGACTATACCATCCTGGTTGACATTCACACTCTATACAACCATCTCCTCCATCACATTCTTCTCCTTCATCTAACTTTTTATTACCACAACTAGATGGTAAACAATCAAGTCGTGCTTTTGAATATTTCTTTGTCATATTTACACATACACAATGATCACATCCATATCCTCCATCACATTCTTCATAAACATCAATTTTTCCATTTCCACAAGTTGGAACAGCACATTTAGTAGAACTTGTGCCATTGACTTTAACAGTCATTGGTTGTGTTCCATATTTACAATTACAAGCATTTGTACATAAACTATCTTGATACCCTTCAACAGATAAATCACATTCTTCATTATTATCTAGTTTACTATTACCACATTTTGTACATGTTTCATCAATAAGAGTATAACCATTATAACATTCACACCGTCCAGAATAAGGAGAACATTTACCATTTGATCCACATTCTTGTGGACATGTAATATCAAAACTAACTCTTACATTTGCCTCATATTCTTCAGTTATTCCAACAAACAATAAATAATCATATTCATGGCTAATTGTGATAGTCATTTTAGCCAATTTTGAATCTTTACTACATCCATCTGTTCTCGTTAAAACACATTCAGTATGAGATGAATCGCTACAATCAACATTAGAAATATCTTCATCATAAGAAGTATATCCATAATCACTTGGTTTATACCTAATCAAATTAAATGAAACATCATAATCTCCTGTAGAATTACAAGATGAAATGACAATTGTATGGTCAGCACCAGGTATTCTATACCAAAAACCTTTTACTTTATTCTTATTACAAACAGAATTTGATTGAATAGCATTATCTAAGTCTAAGTCAACATAATAATTTCCTTTAATAATATTTTGCCATCCTATAGTGGAAGTGGTGTAAGAACATATATGTTTTATTTCTTTAAAATAAATATTATATCCTCCCATTGGTTTACTTGCATATTTAGAATGGACAAAAGCAAAAATGTTACTATTTGCTGTTCCTTCATAATAAATTCTTGGTACTCTTACATATTTACTTGTTCCTCCATTTCTCATAATACATTTAACTCTATAACTAAGGTCAGTAGTTGATGGACATTCATTTTGAATGAGAATAGCCATATCACTACCAATTTTCTGTTGAGTCATATCATAATAGTCTATAGTTTCTGCAGAATAAATATTTTCAACTTCTATCATAACCTTTGACGCTTTCTCAAAGGTTATATTAAACCAATATCCATATGTATATGGCTTCATCATATCAACAAATCTTGAACATCTTGAAATTGATAATGATTGATATTGAACTGGAATATAAGGAATTTTTGCAATAATTTCTTTTTGTTCTTTTCCAACTAAAATATCAAATGGAAATGCAATTCCTAATCCAGCTGTTTGATAACGAGTGAAATTAAGAAAACTAAAACATGTGTGCATGGTATAACTTGTATATGGTTTACATATTCCTTCTCCAAACCACATATAACCATCTTGACATCCTTGGCAATCTTCAGTATATCCTTTTGTTGTGTTACATTCATCACATACATCTGGCTCAATACATCCACCAATACATCCATCTCCAAACATACACGACATCACACATGTCCCATTACCATTTGCAGTATAACCTTTCTTACATAGACAATCTTTTCCACATCCACTTGTTCTGTCACATTCTTCACTAAACCAATCCCAAATACCATCTCCACATTCTCCTTCATTTTCAAATTCTTCTTGGGTGACTTCTTGGGAGTTGTTTCCAAAACAAAAAATAATTAGGATAAGTATAAATACCCATTTCATTTTCTTTATTTTCTAACTAATTATTTTAAGATATCCTTCCTTTCTCCTCATAAAATCATGAATTTTTTTTATGTAAATTTTTATAAAGAATGAATATTATGTTATCTTAAAAATTCATTTTTTTTAAATGCTTATCTTTTTATCTTTTATCTATTTCATTTTAAAACGCATTAAATTAATGTATGAAGTAAATTGATTAACTACTTTATTCTCTGTACAAAATACACCATTTAACTTAGTAACTAATGATATGTTTATGACTTATGATAACAAGTTTGTAATTTATTGATTTTTTTATTAAGCGTTGTCATAACCTCAATAAAATTTAAATAAAACTATTGTCATTATTGTTAGAACTATTCAATAAATAATTCAATTTTCTTGTGCTTAGAGTTGTTAATTTCATTTGTATTACACTTAGATTTATTTTTAAATCATTCTATTTTAAGTAAATTACTTAAGTAGTGATTAATAAGATTAGTATAAATTTGGATTATTCTGATACACAACTTATTGATTGAAAATATTTTATCAGATTTTTCACTCAATTTTATCAGAAATAGTTAACATAAATTTATTGATAATAGGTTATATTGAGAATTGTTCTATTAATTTGAGTTACAGTAATTAGTATATATTTATGGTTTTGTTGACATTTTTTGTTCTTTCATAATATAATTTTCTAACATTTCAAATGAAAACTGAGTAATATTATGCTTGTTAACAATTTTAATGGTTTTCATCAATTCATATTTTGTTCGATTATATAAATTAATAAAATAATAATAATTATTATTAAATATTATTAAATATTATAGATATTTGAACAATGAAATTAGTTTACATTGGTTTATTTCAATACGTATTTCTATCAAGATTAAATAAAAAATTTGTTTTACTTTCTTTATAATTTTATATTTTATTAGTTATTATATCTAATATTGTATCAATCAAAGAAGTATATAAATTTAATTCCATCATTTAATTTTGTTATTCTGAATAAACAATTTATTAGTTTTGTTGTTATAAACATAACTTTTAATAGTATTTGGTTATTTGGTTTGAGTATTTGAAATTTACTGATTAATACTTGTTTTGTATATTGAAAAAGAAATGCTGTGTAATGTTTGGTGCTGTAGTTTTTCTATAATAGTAATACTTTA